ATTTCTTTGTGATAAGCTTCTCATAAAGAGCAATATCACAATCGATGAACTAAAATACTATTGCACGCACGCAAACACGCACGCATCGTTAAGAATTAATCTTGCGTTCACCAAGTCACTCATGCAACCGTATTTTTATTGACTTCTTGTTTATTTTCGACCGTTCGTTCTATAAAAAAAAAAAAAAAAAAAAAAAAAAAAAAAAATAATAATAAAAAAAAAGAACTTTCTTCTTTCAGTTTCAAAATCTCTAACCATTGTTACTCGCAAAAACATCAAACGCAACTCGAGTAATAGATGTAGATCTAAAAATAAAAGCTTTTTGATATTTTACTTAAAATATAAATCATAACGAGTGAAAAGAGAATACAATATTTCGATTAAGCATTTTCTTAAAAGATTTCGTTTCACATGATATTTCATGTATCTTCTGTATTTTAAATAGTAGTATAAAATCTAATATGTAAATATTGACAGTGGGAGATGTACGATCTTTAAGTTATCCTTTTATAACTTTTAGTAGAGATATTTAATTTTTATCTTTAGTAAGAAAGTAATAGAAATTTATGTAAAAATATAGAATGAAAGCGACTGTTTTTTTTTCTTATTTTTTTTTTCTTTTTTTTTTTATAATATTTAAATTTTTATAGATTTTTCTGATTACTAATATCCGATTATATTTATATTCCTGAAATAAGGCTTTATACAATTATGATTTTAATTCTTATTACAATTGTATATTAAATATATAATGAAAATTGTTAATAGGAAAAATTCAAATGCTATCAGACGTAATAACAAAAATTTTCCTAACACACTTTTATAACTAAGGCTTATCTTCTCGATATAGACCAAGATTATAAATAGACTATGAGTCACCATTCGCTTGTATGTATTATTGCGAAGCTTTTCTGTCTAATTTGAATTTACTCGCCATCGATGACTAATATTTTGTAATTTCATTCCGTAAGTTTCACTTCATTTTTTTTTTTTTTTTTTTTTCTTTTTCTTCTTATGATTCACCGTCATAACACTATTATAATTCATCCCTAAGCAATGTGTATCTATTTTTACTGGGTGCAAGTTTCTTAAATGTAGATTCTGGTGGGGTTGTAGGCACTTTCACGTGTCCTGTAACTTGTGGTATTTCATTATTACTAGGAGTATCAGGTCCATGATGAAATTCTCGATGAAGTTTTCCAGAGTATAAGTCATGAATAAAAGCCTTCAGTTTTCCCTCTATATTGATATCTTGGAAGCTAGGAAACAGGTACATGTGACGAAAACTATCGATCGCGATTAACGGCAAATCGGATGTACTTTTTCCCAAATGATGAAGAGGATGTGCGAACTTTAAACCATCAGCAGTTAAGAAATTAATGTTTTCTAAAAGTATAAAAAGTGATTTGAATAGACTATAACGTAGTAACGTAGTAACGTAGTAACGTAATAAACGTGATTTTACTTACGTTTTTCATCTATCAAAGTTCTAGTTACAACATCTTTATATTTTTTGACGCTCTCAGTATCATCTGGAGCATGAAACAATATAAGAAAAGGTAAGCCTTCTTCTGTTAATTCTTCTGCATTCTCAAATGTAATTTCCCTCACAAGTGGTACACATTTTTCTTGAGCCCAAATATTTAATTCGTCAAAGTTTTTCAAACTGCCTTGATAAGTTTCATCTTCATCATTGGACAATGCTTTATCCGATCGGAAGACAACAATTGGTTGACCAGGTGGATGCATGGCTTTACTTGCATCTCTAATAATACATTTTTTATATAATACTTCATTAATTCAAGACTATGATGAAATTTAAATAATTGAAATATAATAAAAATTATGCATGTAGAAAAAAATTATTGCAGTGGAGTTGAAAAGATTGTTGCAAGTTTTCATTTTAAATTGGTTATCACTTAAACCTACTTTTATAGATAAATCTATATATGCTCATGTAATAGATAGCAAGCATTATACAATTCTAATATTGAGATCTAACTACTTATTATTATCTTTACTTACACCAAGTGAAAATGCTGTCCTATTTCACAGTTTTCATTGGAGCAAGTGCTTGTTAAATAAAATCAATATTGTTACGATGTCAATTAGGATATAATATAATATTTATAATATTGTTGTAATCCATGACTAATATAATTTTTTGAAAATATATCTAATCTATCAGATATTATAAAACGTAACTATACCTTATATATCTTATACACCATATAAATAATTTAATTAGCATTAATGTCTTACCCGAAGCCAACATGAAATTGACAGTCATCCTTTAGATTTGTTGCTACCCTTCTGAACATTTGATATTCTGGAATATCTTTCCTGTCAAAATATCCAATAATCATTCTCTTTTTATCGTCAAGATTATTTAATTCTTTCAAGTCATAGAATTCTTTAATGGGATCTTGTAATTGTTTTCTGATGAACTGCTCGAAAGCCTCAACAGAACGCTGACCTCTATACTCTCTTTTAGTTGGTTGTCCATTTCTAATTACTTTTAATGTTGGATATTTGGAAATATGAAACCTTGAAGCTACAGATCCTAAAAGTTATAATAAGTCAAGAATAATAATAAATACTTTTAATATAAATTCAATATATATATATATATATATATATATATATATATATATATATATATATATATATATCTTGATTATTATTAAAGAAAACTAACCTTCTTTATCGCAGTCTACTTTACCCATAACTACAGTTCCAACTTCTGGAAAAGCAGTATGTACTTTATGTGCTGCTTCTTCGAATATGGGTGCCAATAAATTACTAAAACGACACCATTCTGCATAAAAGTTTATAAATACAAGTTCATTGGATGCTAAAAAAAAAAAAAATGAGAAAATAAATTATACCATTGATATAATAAAGTTATAATTCTTTCATAATACTTTTCTAATGTAACTCACCTAATGTATGATCAATGTTTTTTTGTGTGAGTGAAATAGCACCTTCACTTCCTAAACTTTTGGGTAAAAATGCCTGAAAAATAAATTGATTCGGAGAATATGATAAAAGTTTGGCTAAAAACAACAAATTAACAAATAATCCGATTATCAATGATCTTTCAAATTCGTATTATATATGAAATAAAATAAAATCTGACAATATTTACATAGCGTTTTATGAGATATATCGTACTACGTGGATGAAGAACAGTTTCAACAACGTCAGCTTGTCACAAATTTTGAGGTTATTTCTTTAGAAATATTTATAGGTTGGAATAATAATAAAAATTTTTAATGAAAGTTTGAACGATTTAGATTTGTTTACTAATAAAAAGCGTGGAAATTTAACGAAATCTAAATTATTCAAAATACACAACGGAACATAAATACGTGTCACAAAGTACCGCTTAGAAGTTCAAAAGGATAAATTCAGAATTTTTGAAAATGGAAATTGTAATTGTAAAGTTACGTTGTAGAACTTACCAACAGATAAGTAAATATAAGCACTTTAAAATAAAAAATATCACAGAAGACCAACATCTTGTGATCTTAGAAAGGTAATTAATCAAACAACAACTTTTTGAACCACCATCAGTGGATCTGCTACCTATGCGTCAACTGTCACGAACTTACAGTATATCGAACTCGAATAATGTATTTTCGAGACATCGATATTCTATTACTATCTGAAATAAATGTATCTGTATTTTTCTAAAGAAGAAAATAAACAATTATATGTTTTCCTTTTCTTGCATACGTGTATCTTAATTTTATTTGTTTCGATTTAAAAATCACTACATTTTTACTTGAAAATAGTGACATATTTCGTACACCCATTCATTATAAAATACATTCGTAGATGGGCACGTTGCTTGCTATGATTGGCTATTCATTGGCCAATAAACGAACAGCTTTATTAATCACATAATACAAACTGCTTATAATTATATGATTATGTTGGTAATGAAATATAATAATTTTTTTACCGACTGAGAAAATACAAAAGAGTAACGTGATTCGTTGCAATGGAATTTATGTCAATAAAGCATTTATAAAAATTAGAGAAACATTATAATATATTGTTATATATAGTCTATGCGATGAGCCGATTGCATTCGAACAGTTTCTTAAACTAAAATATTTTATTAATATTTCATTTCCTTCATTATGTTATATAAATACTTTTGAGCGCATATGTAGAACTGGTTGCTATTCAACAGGCACTTTTCAGAAATTTCAAATGATCAATGCAAACGTATATTGTAATAATAATTTTATATATCGAAACATTTCCGTTGAAGAAATATTATTTTATTAATGTTTATTCTTTTTGGAAGTTTCATTAATGGTTCATTTAATTTTTGTAATATTTTTATTTTCGTACGAAAAATTAGTTTTGATGATTCTTTATGATCATTTGAAGGCTGAAAAATTCTTTGAACTATCACTATTTTGTTCTTTTCCTTTTTTTTTTTTATCTATTTAACGATAATTTATATCATTTATGCGTATAAAAAGAAGACGTCCCGATAAATAAAACATATTTAACCCTTTGCGGTCGTATGTCTGCTCTCAGCCACCACCAGCAAAGAACCATACTAATCTTAACATTGTATTCATCCATGTATTAATTTATACTTTCTCTAAACGAAACTGAATGTCTAAAGAATCTATTTACGAACCAATACGGTGCTCATGTCAATTGTTAACAAAAAAACTCAATTTAAACAAATCTTACTCGCCATGCAAAACACCGTGGCGAGTCCAAACGAAATGAAACTGTACATCTTTCTCTCTTTTTTACTCGTTGTCTTGATTATTATCTTAACAGTATCTATTGAAGATTCTTGTTTTAAACAGATAACTTTGTCTTTTAAATAATTATTAAAATAATTTCATTATTTATTTTCTTTATTTTCAAACGAGTATAAAGATTTGTTACAAGAGAAGATCACAGTGGTCAGTGATATACACAATAGCACAAATAAACTTTTGCTTTGTTAAAAGTCTGGAAAAATTGGAGGATGGATAAAAGACACTGCTTGTTACGCTTATTGTATATTTTTAGGAAAACAATTCGGTGATTACTTTTATCGTGATACTTGTTATTCGTATAGAGATCGTAAGTAATGTTTCTTAATTTTGTCGATTAAAATTTAAACATTTCAAATGGTCTTGTTCAAAATAAAACTTTGCTTTAATTCCTATTAATTTTCGTTTGTTTCACGAGTATTGTGTAGTTCGATTTATCTGAAAAAATATTTGTTTTTTAAATTATAATAAATATACTTTAATATATAATTTTATTGTTGTCAATAAATATGCTTTTAAATTTATATTTCAATAATAATATGTCACAATAATAATATGTCGCAATAATAATATGTCGCGATAATAATATGTCGCAATAATAATATGTTATTTCATCATTCCGAATCTTATGATCGATGTACTTATATCGTGTTTAAGATGCGATAGACATTTTTTAATTTGGCTCGTTCAACAAGGTTTATCTTAAATTCTAATCTTATTACTCTGCTCGTTTAATCGTTGTCTCATCTCGTTTATTTTTTAGCTGTTATTTTTTTCCAAAATGTTATATATATATATGATATTATCCAAGTCTTTCTTATCTAATATTTGTTTTTTTTTATCTATAAAATTTGAATAAACCTCGTTGAGTGAAACGATACTGTTTATACATCACACACACACGCAAGCACGTACGCAAGTACGTACGCATGCACACACATACACAATATATGTTGCACAACACACACATATATATACAATTAAACTTGAAATGGCTATGTTAGTTTTCTTTGCGAAATCGATCCTTCTCATTTTTCAAAAATGATGAAGCTCTACGTATTTTTTACGATTTTCTTCGTAGCTATGATCATGTTAACAACAGCTGAGATCGAAGGTTAGTAAATAAAAAAATATAGTATATAAATATAAATATATATATATATATATATATATATATATATATATATACTTATATATGTATATATTTGTAGAGAAATATGTAGAGAATACATATACCTGCACAATTCAAGATTGTCACACAAATTGTTGGCTAAACGGTGCTAGAAGTGGGTTTTGCGAAGGATCCGAATGTATTTGCTATAATCGTAAGTTATTTTGTTATATTTTAAAAAAAGATAAATACATATATCTAAAATTTACAATAATTTCTTATATTGCAGTGAAATAAGAATAACATTCATTCTCATTATAATTGGACTCATCGTTGTCGAAGAAACTTCTAGAAAAATAATAATAATAATTTCCTGTTTATATAACCGTGATATATTCTTCACGTTCGATTGATTTTTCTTAAAATGTAATAAACTTGAAAATTTTATTGATTTCCATAATTAAAAATATCTAATAAAAAATCGTTCGATTATCGCTGAACAAGATTATTGATAATACCTGAACTGATTTCACTTTAAAAAAATAAAGTTATATAATATCAAAATGTCTTTATCGTTTCTCAATTCTTCATGTCTTCTCATTTTTTCGAATAGTATCGATTAATATAATAAGATTGTTATTTTCAATATGAAATTAATTTATTTATCGATTTCATTATCTTTTGCCTCTATCGTGTAATTTTAATATGCTGCCAGTTCTCTATACGTATCAAACGCATCAAGAACAGGAAGTAACTGGCGTGGAAGGGCATGCTGATAGACTTTGAAGATCTTGAGTTTGCACGATACCTGTTATCGGCCGGAAATAGTGCTTGAAATACCTACTGTGTTAGTAAGGGTAAAGAGGAAGGATATTGCAACAGAGATAACAAATACATTTATAGTCTATGTGAGTATGGACTATTTATCTTCGGATATTCAGTAAATAATATCATTCAAATAACTGTTTCTTTAGACAATTGGAACAAGAAATATTTCGAGAGTATTTGAAATATCTCGAATTTGTTTGAACAAACGATACATTGTATAAATAAAGAAATATATATATATATATATATATATATATATATCAATTTAGTTATTTCTTTTTTTTTGTTATTGTTAACTATAAGACAAAATTTTCCGACAAGTCCTTATAGTATTAATTAATAAACGATTAAATTAATTTTTGTTATTCGAATATTATCTATTTTAGCAGATATTCATCCACGTATTTGTCTTATCAAAAATTATTTTATTATCTCGGTATAACGAAGATGTGCTGGAAAAAACATTTCGTATATAGATATGTCTAGTTTACTTATTAATGTGTGTTTGTCTTCAATAGTATATACATAAAAAATAGTTACACATATGTACTTGTATATATAATGTGTACATTTGCGATATCAAGAGATGAGTGTTGGCCTTGATTCATTTTGATCCCGATGCTATAGTACAACGCCCGATAAGCAATTAATCGGTTCTGGAGTTATTAAGATTAATTAAACAGACTGATCATATTTACCAACCAATTTATACGCGATCAAAATAGTTTCACTATATTTATTTTGTTCCAGTACATCGATTTATACACTGAGTTCTTTGATTCAATAAATGAAATTTTATAAACTCGATTAAAAAATTTAAGAATGAAATACATATATTATGATATAAAGATTTGTGTGTATGTTTCGAAAGTTAAAAAAACTTTGTTAAATAAAAATTTCAAAATATTTATTACGACAAGATAGGAATAACGAGAAGATAAAACTATATTTTGCATATAAAGTCGATGACTAAACAAAAATGATCTCAAGAGATTTCGATCTCAAGATTGCACGGAATTCCCCAAAGATTTCCCCGTCTAAATCCAGCGTATTTTTCTTGGAAACAAAGAAAACAGAAAGAAAGAGGAAAAGTAAGAGAAAAAGAGTGAGAGAGAATACGAAAGATAAAAGTAAGCATTAAAACAGATATGCTTTGAAATACTTTTTATGTCAATGTTCTCTTGGAATATCAGCTTTTAGATGAAATCATCCGAATGATGAACCATAATATGCATTTTCTCTCGAGACACATGCAACGTTTTTAAAATGTGTTTGTAGGATATATAACGCAGTGGTTCGCGGTGTTAAAGACAGTTCTTCTTCATAGGTTTAACTGTTAAATTGCTCTTAAAGTACTCCGAATTGAGATGATCAAAATGATCAAGATCTATACGGTACTCTTCGCTTTCATCGTTCTGCTTGTTAGTACGGCAATAGCGGCACCAATCGAAGGTTTCTTTGAAAATTTCTTTTATAATTTTTAATATCATTCATTCTCGTTAATAATTTATGTGTGTATAATTCTCGTAAATAACAATGTTTCATTTTGGATTAAGGAGATATTAAAGAAGAAAAGAATTCCGTTTATAATTTTATGGATCAAAAATTATCAAAAGAATTAATGATTGCTCGTACGAGATATAGAAGAGAAACTTGCCAAATTCCCATTATCGGTGACTGGGTTAGCGACAGTGCTTGCGCTGCAGGCTGTATCGCAAGAGGAAGAGCCGGTGGCCATTGCAGAAATGAAATCTGTCATTGTCGAGAGTGAGTAATCGTTTGTGCAATCTCCTTTACCAAAGATATATGATATTGTATACAGTCGATTGTTGTTGACATTAACGTTGAATGTCAACAACAATGATCAACAACAATGATCAACAACAATGATCAACAAATATAAACGAATATTATACGAATGTACGAATTCATGAATTTTATCATCTCTTTTCTATTTATTGTTAGACGTTTCTATTTTTCAGAGAGAAAATGTTGGATCTTCTACGAAAACGATTCGATTTCTAGAGAATAAGTGAGTGGTGATCGAAAAGATGGAAAATAAATATTACAAGTTAGTTATAATATCATTTCATTTTAAATACATCGATTGTTAGATAATTAAGACAATTGTACCTTATTTATTCGTTATTAGAAAATATAACTATTATTTATTATTACAATTATTTTTAATCAAAGTTTTCTCATCTCCTTCTAATCTTTCTTCTAAATTATAAAGTACGAATTTATTTTGTGAAAATAGATATACGTGGGTATTTCAGAAGTGAACCAAAATATTTTCTTCGTAGAATATAAAAAAGCATATAAATGTTCTTTTTTTAAAGTTATCGATATCACAAAAAAAATTTACAACTTGAAAAAGAATCGATGAAAGAAAAATTTTGGATTAAACATATTATTAAAATATCATCTTTGCAAAACTTAAATGATATTGTTAAAATGAAAGTGAATAATGAAATCAAAAATTATTCGAAGACATTAAATTGATTTTTAATATAAATGAAAAAAAAATTCAAATAAGACTGTTACAATAAATCTAATATCTGTTTCTTTTTTTTGCGAGCATTTAATAAATTTTCGATTGAAATTTTGATAATACACCAAATTACTATATAAGCGTCATTTGCGACGTAATAGTAACAACCTAATTTCGAAGATTGAAGTTAAACAATCAATTAAAAAATAAAATTTTATTTTCTTGTAGCTCTTCTCTTTATCGTTATATTAACCGTTACGGCAGTATCAAGTATGTTTAATTTAAAAAAAAATCAATTATTTGTATTAACGATGAACGATATTATCTTCTTATCTCTATTATTAATATATATATTATTATCTCTTCGACTCTGCTTCTAATGCTGTTGAAGGATGCGCTGATAGATATGCAAGGAGTATTCGCATAATCATCGGAGATGGAAACTGGCTTTGTACCGTATCCTGCAAGGATAATATATGTTATTGCAACAATTAATAAGTAACGATATAAATAATTAACTATAAAAATAAAAAGTAAAGGAATTAAATTGTCTTTTTAAAATTTTTTTTTCCTTGTTTTTTTTCCCCTTTTTCAAATGGATTAACAATTAATCTAAATAATTGATTGAACGAAGATGGAAAATGCTTGAATATCGGAGACAATTTTTATCAAAAAAAAAAAAAAAAAAAAGAAAAAAAAAAAGAAAAAACAAACTTCCAATCGGGAACAATTTACATACTACTCGCTTATATGTACTATACATATATATATATATATACATATCTGTGAGAGTATACAATAGAAAAATTAATTTAAACTAAACAATTTTTTAATCTTTTCTATACATTTTATCTACATTCATTTTATCTATCGTTTGTTTACGACTATGACTTTCTTGTCACTTTGAATTTATATGAAAGATGCAAATATCATTATATTATACATAATTAATAATAATTTTTTCTAGATTCAAAGTTATTCGATATCAAGATGAATTCATTCATATGCTTGACCATGACCTTTCATATGATGTCAAAATATATGTAGCATTTCATTTAAAAAATTAAAGATCATTTTCGTTTCTTGAAAATATAAACCAATTTGTTTTAATTCATAAATAATACAAATATTACATTCAAATTATAACCTTAACAAATTATAACTGACAAGATTTGAAGAACATGTTACTAAAAAAAATGGTTTTAATTGCATTACTTTGTATTATGTAATACTGTAGTGTAAATTTTAAAGTCGACTTTTTCGAAATATTCCATTAATAGCCGCAATGTATTATTAAAGTTCATTTAAATGATAGTAGTTATGTAATCATCTTGTTTATTTTACCTCCAAAATAATATATCAATTCTATTTTATGTTTCAATTATTAGTCGATAATGATAAATAAAAAATTGAAGGTTTCTGGGGTTTTTACGATATTACTTGTGTCTTAAAATAATTAAAATAATTTCTATAAATTTATTTTTAATATTATTTGTGTCTTAAAATCTTAAAATAATTTTCGATTCCTTCGTACTATTATTATCATAAATCATATTGAAGGAAAACAAACTTTTTCGCATGATATTATTAAATCAATATCCATTTGAGAAATTTGCATAATTAATTGCCTGATCAATACATACGCTGGCCTTGTCAAATAATATGTAATCGCAGATATATTATATTATGTTCTCAATGTGTTATTAATAATTATATATTATTAATAAAAATTATTTGAACTTGTTTAACAAATGAATTTAATTATTGACGAGAGTATCTAAACAAGATTTTATAATTAATGGTAAAACAAATATTTATTAAATTGCATCTAATTGATCGATATAGACGCGTATCATTTATATGGTCAAAACTTATTTTCTTGTATTCCTTTTTCTCTTTGTTGCCGTATCGGCAAAAGAAAAATAAAATATAATAAATGAACTATACTTAAATACTCGATAATCGATTTTTTTTTAAACTTATTATCTCTAGTTGATTTGATTTTGTAATTAAATAATTATTTATTCCATTTAATTACACAATAAAAATTACCACATAAGATAATCTAAACGATTATCGAAAATACATTTGTCGCGTCATATATCTCGTGTCCAAATCTTAACAAATTCTTATAGTTCATCACATCGTCATAGTTCATCATATAGTTCATCATCGCCTAACTATCCAATAAACTCTCATTTTTCAAACTCATAAATGATAGAATTCAACTATTTATAATTCTAGAAAATAATAAATAAAATGTAATAAATTTATCATTGATTTTATCAGATTATCGAATTCGAATAATTAATATTTCGTTTACATTTTTAACACACGATTAAAATTTAAATTCGAATAAGTTTTGATATTATAATAATAGTTCCAAAAGGTTTTATTTATATCAAAACAAATAACAAGTTACATTTGCAATACTTTTGCAATATTTTATGAAAGTGAATTTTTCCTTTTAGTATTTGCGACTTTATTGTTAACAGAAGATGAACATTATGATCCTAAAAGAACATCAAATAGAATTTTCCATATATAAAAGTAAATATTACAAAATTATTCTTCTATTCTTTCAATAAATTAATGATTATAAACTTGATCTTATAGAAGTCTTAACAATTGTACTTTGTTTCAATCAAATGAATTAAAGTATTGGTAGAATTGATATTTGAATCAGATGTAGGAACCAATAAATAAAGATACTAATTAATCTTCTCAAGATTTATCGATATGGATTCGTATCAATAGCATGAGTATATAAAGATGAGCAGAAAGTCGAAACGACATGATTTGACGCCAGTCGACTTACAAAAATTTATCAAAATGAGAACAATTTATTTCCTCACATTCCTTGCTCTTCTCGTCTTCGTTGCCGTATCGGCACAAGAAGAAGGTTAGTATAGAGTATTAATCGTTATTTTTCAAATATTGTTGTTTATGTATCGTCTTTCACGATTGGTCGATTTAAATTTTTGATATTTTTTTTTAAATATTATTATATTTTTCGAATTATATTAACTATTGATATATTTTTTTTTTTTTACATTTTTATTGGAAAAGTAGCCAGTAATATATTCAAAATAAAAAATTGTAATTGTAATATTACGTTATACTTTCAGAAGCTGTTCCAAATGAACAAATCGAAGAAAAATTGCAAGAAGAAGAAAAATATGCTTCTTGCAGAATAGGTGGAGATCTAGCGTGCAGTTTGAGCTGTATTGGACAAGGTCATGGAAGAGGAGGATATTGTAACAAACGTGGCACATGTATATGTAACTAAAATATTATCTGATACAATTAATACTTACGATTAATTAATAACTGTTCATGGTCCATAAATTTTCAATACCAATGTTCTGATTTATAACAACAACTGTGACAATTATAAATTTCTCAAATTTTGCATTTTATCCTTTTATTTTTCATTATTTATCCTATACCAATAATAAATCGATAATCAAGTTAGTTCGATCAATTTGAAATAAACTAATAATTACTTGTGTCTCGAGAAAATTTACTTTCTCGCGTTCATTGTTCTTAATTTACTTATCGACAAAAGAAGAAGATTATTACTTAGAAATTTCACTATTATTATATATTTATTAATTTATTATTTTTTTTTTATGTACAACTAATCAATTTTACATTATCATTTGACATTTTCTATTAATTGGCATTATATTTTTTGAATTATGTTAACTATTGACTTTTTTTTATATTTTCTCTAATAATATCGGACAATATATTGAAAAGAAAAAATCGCAACTGTAATATAATATCGTACTTCTAGAAACTGTTCTAGATTTACAACTTGAAAAATCCGAAAAATTTGTTTCAACTTACATTGTAAATAGAGAATGATTATGAAGTCTGTCAGATGAAAGGCAATAGGAGCGGACGTTACTAGAACAACTGATATTAGCTGACATTGATTTTAGCTATTGATAACTATCATGAATTAATTATGATTTCTATTTAAATACTCAATAATCGATATTTTTTTTTAAGTCTATTTTCTCCAGTTGATTTGATTTTGTGGTTAATTAATTATTCGATTTGATTAAATAATAAATAGAAATACACAAGCTAATGTAAATGATTAATCGAAGATACATCTATGGTTGCATCTTGAGAAATACACGTTATCAACCTGAAAAGCAAAAAATAAAAATAACTAAATAATTTATCAGAGTTTTGATTATCTGTGGCATTATTGATGATATAATGTCATCGAAAGATATGACAGCGACTTAAGTCATTATATCATTAATCTGACTTTATTACGAATCCAATTCAATAGATAAATTGTAAAGAAATGGAATACGTGTATTTATATTTATGTAATTGATTAATTAATGTTAGCCGACCATTGAATAAATACTGTTTTTGAATTTATTCGCCGATATTTATCTAAGCAGAATACTTAGATTTAACAGAATTTCTTCATTTTTGTTCGTAAAATACAATTAGAAATTAAATATGAATAAGTTTAGATAATAATAAGTTCAAAGAGTTTTTATTTATATCAGAATATGTAACATATGTTACATTTCGCAATATTTCGTGAAAGTGAGTTTTTTTCTTTTAGTATTTGCGACTTTACTGTTAACAGAAGATGGACATTATGATCCTGAAAGAACATCAAATAGAATTTTCCATATATAAAAGTAAATGTTACAAAATTATTCTTTTATTCTTTCAATAAATTAGTGATTGTAAACTTGATCTCATAGAAGTTTTAACAGTTGTGCTTTGTTTTAATCAAACGAATTAGACTATTGGTGGAAGTATCTAAATCAGATATAGGAACCAATGAATAAGTACTAATTAATCTTCGCATGATTTATCGATATAGATTTGTGTTAACAGCATGAGTATATAAGAACGAGCAAAAAGTCGAAAAGACATGATTTGACCCCAGTCGACTTATAAAACTTTATCAAAATGAGAACAATTTATTTCCTCACATTCCTTGCTCTTCTCGTCTTCGTTGCCGTATCGGCACAAGAAGAAGGTTAGTATAGAGTATTAATCGTTATTTTTCAAATATTGTTGTTTATGTATCATCTTTCACTATTGGTCTATTTCAATTTTTGATATTTTACATTAAATGGTAATATATTTTTCGAACTATATTAACCATTGACATGTTTTTTTTTTTACATTTTTACTGGAAAAGTAGCCAGTAATATATTGAAAATAAAAAATTGTAATTATAATATTGCGTTATACTTTCAGAAGCTATTCCAAATGAACAACTTGGAGAAGAAGAACTATTTTGGTCTTGTCAACATGGCGGAAAGAAAATGTGCAGTACGAGCTGTGCTCTAAAAGGCAAATGGAAAGGTGGACATTGTAACAAACATGGCAAATGTATATGTAACTGAAATGTTATCTGATACAATTAATACTTACGATTAATTAATAACTGTTCATGGTCCATAAATTTTCAATACCAATGTTCTGATTTATAACAACAACTGTGACAATTATAAATTTCTCAAATTTTGCATTTTATCCTTTTATTTTTCATTATTTATCCTATACCAATAATAAATCGATAATCAAGTTAGTTCGATCAATTTGAAATAAACTAATAATTACTTGTGTCTCGAGAAAATTTACTTTCTCGCGTTCATTGTTCTTAATTTACTTATCGACAAAAGAAGAAGATTATTACTTAGAAATTTCACTATTATTATATATTTATTAATTTATTATTTTTTTTTTATGTACAACTAATCAATTTTACATTATCATTTGACATTTTCTATTAATTGGCATTATATTTTTTGAATTATGTTAACTATTGACTTTTTTTTATATTTTCTCTAATAATATCGGACAATATATTGAAAAGAAAAAATCGCAACTGTAATATAATATCGTACTTCTAGAAACTGTTCTAGATTTACAACTTGAAAAATCCGAAAAATTTGTTTCAACTTACATTGTAAATAGAGAATGATTATGAAGTCTGTCAGATGAAAGGCAATAGGAGCGGACGTTACTAGAACAACTGATATTAGCTGACATTGATTTTAGCTATTGATAACTATCATGAATTAATTATGATTTCTATTTAAATACTCAATAATCGATATTTTTTTTTAAGTCTATTTTCTCCAGTTGATTTGATTTTGTGGTTAATTAATTATTCGATTTGATTAAATAATAAATAGAAATACACAAGCTAATGTAAATGATTAATCGAAGATACATCTATGGTTGCATCTTGAGAAATACACGTTATCAACCTGAAAAGCAAAAAATAAAAATAACTAAATAATTTATCAGAGTTTTGATTATCTGTGGCATTATTGATGATATAATGTCATCGAAAGATATGACAGCGACTTAAGTCATTATATCATTAATCTGACTTTATTACGAATCCAATTCAATAGATAAATTGTAAAGAAATGGAATACGTGTATTTATATTTATGTAATTGATTAATTAATGTTAGCCGACCATTGAATAAATACTGTTTTTGAATTTATTCGCCGATATTTATCTAAGCAGAATACTTAGATTTAACAGAATTTCTTCATTTTTGTTCGTAAAATACAATTAGAAATTAAATATGAATAAGTTTAGATAATAATAAGTTCAAAGAGTTTTTATTTATATCAGAATATGTAACATATGTTACATTTCGCAATATTTCGTGAAAGTGAGTTTTTTTCTTTTAGTATTTGCGACTTTACTGTTAACAGAAGATGGACATTATGATCCTGAAAGAACATCAAATAGAATTTTCCATATATAAAAGTAAATGTTACAAAATTATTCTTTTATTCTTTCAATAAATTAGTGATTGTAAACTTGATCTCATAGAAGTTTTAACAGTTGTGCTTTGTTTTAATCAAACGAATTAGACTATTGGTGGAAGTATCTAAATCAGATATAGGAACCAATGAATAAGTACTAATTAATCTTCGCATGATTTATCGATATAGATTTGTGTTAACAGCATGAGTATATAAGAACGAGCAAAAAGTCGAAAAGACATGATTTGACCCCAGTCGACTTATAAAACTTTATCAAAATGAGAACAATTTATTTCCTCACATTCCTTGCTCTTCTCGTCTTCGTTGCCGTATCGGCACAAGAAGAAGGTTAGTATAGAGTATTAATCGTTATTTTTCAAATATTGTTGTTTATGTATCATCTTTCACTATTGGTCTATTTCAATTTTTGATATTTTACATTAAATGGTAATATATTTTTCGAACTATATTAACCATTGACATGTTTTTTTTTTTACATTTTTACTGGAAAAGTAGCCAGTAATATATTGAAAATAAAAAATTGTAATTATAATATTGCGTTATACTTTCAGAAGCTATTCCAAATGAACAACTTGGAGAAGAAGAACTATTTTGGTCTTGTCAACATGGCGGAAAGAAAATGTGCAGTACGAGCTGTGCTCTAAAAGGCAAATGGAAAGGTGGACATTGTAACAAACATGGCAAATGTATATGTAACTGAAATGTTATCTGATACAATTAATACTTACGATTAATTAATAACTGTTCATGGTCCATAAATTTTCAATACCAATGTTCTGATTTATAACAACAACTGTGACAATTATAAATTTCTCAAATTTTGCATTTTATCCTTTTATTTTTCATTATTTATCCTATACCAATAATAAATCGATAATCAAGTTAGTTCGATCAATTTGAAATAAACTAATAATTACTTGTGTCTCGAGAAAATTTACTTTCTCGCGTTCATTGTTCTTAATTTACTTATCGACAAAAGAAGAAGATTATTACTTAGAAATTTCACTATTATTATATATTTATTAATTTATTATTTTTTTTTTATGTACAACTAATCAATTTTACATTATCATTTGACATTTTCTATTAATTGGCATTATATTTTTTGAATTATGTTAACTATTGACTTTTTTTTATATTTTCTCTAATAATATCGGACAATATATTGAAAAGAAAAAATCGCAACTGTAATATAATATCGTACTTCTAGAAACTGTTCTAGATTTACAACTTGAAAAATCCGAAAAATTTGTTTCAACTTACATTGTAAATAGAGAATGATTATGAAGTCTGTCAGATGAAAGGCAATAGGAGCGGACGTTACTAGAACAACTGATATTAGCTGACATTGATTTTAGCTATTGATAACTATCATGAATTAATTATGATTTCTATTTAAATACTCAATAATCGATATTTTTTTTTAAGTCTATTTTCTCCAGTTGATTTGATTTTGTGGTTAATTAATTATTCGATTCGATTAAATAATAAATAGAAATACACAAGCTAATGTAAATGATTAATCGAAGATACATCTATGGTTGCATCTTGAGAAATACACGTTATCAACCTGAAAAGCAAAAAATAAAAATAACTAAATAATTTATCAGAGTTTTGATTATCTGTGGCATTATTGATGATATAATGTCATCGAAAGATATGACAGCGACTTAAGTCATTATATCATTAATCTGACTTTATTACGAATCCAATTCAATAGATAAATTGTAAAGAAATGGAATACGTGTATTTATATTTATGTAATTGATTAATTAATGTTAGCCGACCATTGAATAAATACTGTTTTTGAATTTATTCGCCGATATTTATCTAAGCAGAATACTTAGATTTAACAGAATTTCTTCATTTTTGTTCGTAAAATACAATTAGAAATTAAATATGAATAAGTTTAGATAATAATAAGTTCAAAGAGTTTTTATTTATATCAGAATATGTAACATATGTTACATTTCGCAATATTTCGTGAAAGTGAGTTTTTTCCTTTTAGTATTTGCGACTTTACTGTTAACAGAAGATGAACATTATGATCCTAAAAGAACATCAAATAGAATTTTCCATATATAAAAGTAAATATTACAAAATTATTCTTCTATTCTTTCAATAAATTAATGATTATAAACTTGATCTTATAGAAGTCTTAACAATTGTACTTTGTTTCAATCAAATGAATTAAAGTATTGGTAGAATTGATATTTGAATCAGATGTAGGAACCAATAAATAAAGATACTAATTAATCTTCTCAAGATTTATCGATATGGATTCGTATCAATAGCATGAGTATATAAAGATGAGCAGAAAGTCGAAATGACATGATTTGACGCCAGTCGACTTATAAAACTTTATCAAAATGAGAACAATTTATTTCCTCACATTCCTTGCTCTTCTTGTCTTCGTTGCCGTATCGGCACAAGAAGAAGGTTAGTATAGAGTATTAATCGTTATTTTTCAAATATTGTTGTTTATGTATCATCTTTCACTATTGGTCTATTTCAATTTTTGATATTTTACATTAAATGGTAATATATTTTTCGAACTATATTAATCATTGACATGTTTTTTTTTTTTACATTTTTACTGGAAAAGTAGCCAGTAATATATTGAAAATAAAAAATTGTAATTATAATATTGCGTTATACTTTCAGAAGCTATTCCAAATGACCAACTTGGAGAAGAAGAACTATTTTGGTCTTGTCAACATGGCGGAAATGCAATGTGCAGTACGAGCTGTGCTCTAAAAGGCAAATGGAAAGGTGGACATTGTAACAAACATGGCACATGTATATGTAACTGAAATGTTATCTGATACAATTAATACTTACGATTAATTAATAACTGTTCATGGTCCATAAATTTTCAATACCAATGTTCTAATTTGTAACAACAACTGTGACAATTATAAATTTCTCAAATTTTGCATTTTATCCTTTTATTTTTCATTATTTATCCTATACCAATAATAAATCGATAATCAAGTTAGTTCGATCAATTTGAAATAAACTAATAATTACTTGTATCTCGTGAAAATTTATTTTCTCGCATTCATTGTTCTTAATTTACTTATCGACAAAAGAAGAAGATTATTACTTAGAAATTTCACTATTATTATATATTTATTATTTTTTTTTTATGTACGTTTGACCAATTTTACATTATCATTTGACATTTTCTATTAATTGGCATTATATTTTTTGAATTATGTTAACTATTGACTTTCTTTTACATTTCTATTGATAATATATAACCATATATTGAAAAGTTGTTACTGTAATTTAATGTCGTACTTTCGGAAATGTTCTAGATGTATAATTTGAAAATCTCGAAACATTTGTTTCGATTTGCATTATAGATGGAGAATGGTTATGCACGAATGACTATCGGATAAAAGGTAATAGGAGAGAACGTTATAAGAACAAAGGAACGTACCTATGTTACCAATGATACTTATTTTACCTACTGATAACTACAATGAATTGTCCACTATGAATTACTTAATCTTTGAGTTGCTTCGTGAGAACGCAATTACGAGAGCGTTTCGAGATACACGTCTCGCACCGGACCAGCGATGGCAGTCAATTTGATTATCGATAAAGAAAGTTCCTCCGTCTCTTCATAATAGTCAGTATATATATATATATATATATATATATATATATATATATATTAAAATTTACGAAGTAGATATATATATATTTATTTCAGAAAATAGTAGTGTACAAAATGTCTTTACTTCGGCACAGCTACAAGAACTCTTTTTTGCCAAAAATTACTTCTAACTGAGTACTCAGTGTCGAGGCATCGCTCTTTTTTTTTTATATCGATTGTCATTCTCGAAAATTTTAGTGAGGACCATAATGAGATTAGGAAAGGGAATAGAAAGAATAGAGTTGAAATATAGTCAGAGTATAGAAATGGGAGGAAAAGATCCCTATTGTTCAGGACGAGTCAATATAGTTCGCTCAAATGTTTAAACAATCCTATGCGTGTCTCTTTTGTTTTGTTGATCGTGTAGACTAGAGAGTGTCAATTGGATACTTAAAGGATAGACGCCAGACAACCTTTGGTTATTTATTTATTGTTCGGTCAGACAGATTATTGACAGATGCATGATTTAAAGAAATGAAATAAGTTCGGACAAAAATGCCAATGTGTTCTTTATTTATCCTCTTTTGTGAAAAACTGAGGGATGCACGGTTGCGCCTAAATATATATACACACACGCACACACATACATACTACGATATTTCATCAACAAAATAGATAATCAACTTACTTAATAATACTTTCTAGTTCAAGTACATCTATAACTGATCTTATCAGAATATTCAAATAATTAATCGTTTGTTCATCTTTCTAATAGATAATTTGAATTTGAACACCACTTAAGTAATAATAATACAAAAAGTTTTTATATATATTTGAATATCTAACCAGTTATATTTTCGATAATTCTGTAATATTTTATGAAAACGAGTTTTTTCCTTGCATTTCTTACGATTTTATTGTTATCAAAAGAGGAACATTATGAAACTCGAAATTACGTCAATTAAAATTATTTCTATGTAAAAGTAAATATTAATAAATTATATCTTTTACATTTTAAACGAATATTTGATTGTAAAGTGGATTTCATGGAAATTTTAATAATCTAGACTACTTTAATAACCTAGATCTAGATCAACTATAGCATGAATGTCTGAATTATATTTCGCAACTTTAATCAATATGGATTCATATCATCTGTATGAGTATATAAAAATTTGTAAAAAGTCGAAACGACATGATTTGACGCCAATCAACTTATAACAATCTATCAAAATGAGAAAAATTTATTTCCTCGCATTCCTTGCTCTTCTCGTGTTCGTTGCCGTATCGGCACAAGAAAAAGGTTAAGACCTAGATTATTCGTAATTTTATAAGTATGATTATTCAGTCCTTTACGAATTTATGGTTCAAATTAATATTTTTTATTTTGTATTATGCTATACTATATTTTATCGTATTCTATTATCTATTGACTTTCTTTTACATTGCTATTAGCAGTACCTGACAATATATTCAACAGAAGAAATCCTAATTGTAACTGTATAAACTTTCAGAACCTGCTCTAGATATGCAAGTTGGAAACCCCGAAGAATATGAACCGCAATGCACAACAGCTGAAAACAACTTTTGCAATAAATATTGTAAAAGGAAAGGCAAGAGATTTGGATATTGTAATTCATTCGGATGTGTATGTATCTAAAGTGCTGATTCCAATGATTGATAATTACTTGAGCCTCATGAATTTTCAACATCAATATACTAATCTGTAATAGCAAATATAACAAAATATTCATATATTCCTAAATCCTTTATATTTTATTTTGTTATTTTTCATTACTTATCCTACACCAAAAATAACTTGATAATCAAATAAATTCTATGAACTTCGAAAAAAATTAATTATTTCTATTTTTTGAACTATCAGTATCAATAGTTTAACTAAATATTATTTATCTATAAAGTAAAAATATCAGTGGATAATCAGATCAAATCAATGATTAATCAAATAATCACGTCTCGAGTGATTGATCGATATGGATTCGCATCATCAGTATATAAGGACGTGTTAAAAGTTGAAACAACATGATTTGACGCTAGTCGACTTATAACAATCTATCAAAATGAGAAAAATTTATTTCCTCGCATTCCTTGCTCTTCTTGTCTTCGTTGCTGTATCGGGACATGAAGAAGGTTAGTTACCCATAATATTTGTAGTCCTGTTATGAGTATAATTATTTAGTTTTTTACGATTGAATGATTTTATTTTGATTCGACATGTTGTATGACATGATATTTTCTCTATCGAATTGCGTTAATTATTGACTTTCTTTTACATTTCTATTAATAATAATTCACAATATATTAAGAATAAAGAATCTTGAATGTAATATTATATTGTGTTTTCAGAAACTCTTCCAGATATTGAACTTAGAGAAGACAAAACAACGGTTTGCTATAATGGATATCGTAAATGCGAACAATTCTGTAAGAAACGAGGCAGGAGAGGTGGTATCTGTGGTTTAGATTTTATTTGTAATTGTTATTGAAATTTGGCCTAAGATAATTAATAACTATAATAAATTGACAAATATATGGATCTTATAAACTTTGGATAACCAAATTTCTAATTTTTAATAATCAATCCTTCATAGATTATTTAAATTTTATATTTTATATTATTAGTTTTCAATACATATATTATAGAAAATATAACTCGATAATTAATATTTCTCTCTTTATACCTTTTACTTGAAATCAATTTGATTACGTAACTGTAAGTAATAAAAATAAGTTCATAATTAATCTTACCTATGAGAAATAATCATCGAAGATGTATCGATCGTTGTATTTTGAAAAATCCACAACATATTATCTATATATAAAAGCAATAAGAAAAAAATAAATAATCAATTTACTTAGATATTACCTATCGATTATAAAATAATTTTATTAGAAGTTAATATAGTTATTTACGTCGTTATACCTTATCTCTCACTATCCACAAATCCAATTCGATAGTTATATTATAAAGATTTTATAAACGGAACATATGGATTTATATTTACGTAAATGATTAATAATATAAGCCGACCATAAGATAAACACTATTTTCGAATTTATTCGCCGATATTTATCTATGTTATATAGATAATATAGATAATCTATGTTATATATCTATCTTATATTTAATAGAATATTCTTCATTTTTATTCATCAATATTTATCTTTATAATACTTATATTTATTAAAATGATAAATTATTAAAAAGATTAAACCATAATTTATATTTTTAATGAACTAATTATTTACTTATTTAAAAATATTTTGATTGAATATAAAACGTATTCCGATAAAAGGATTGAAGCGACAATGATTTCAAGTGGTTATACAAAATTATCTCAATAAAACGCTATTCGTAATATCTTGAAAATTTGATATATAAAGAATCAAAAAGTATATATAAAAAGTCAGAAATTCCTACAACAACAGTATAATTTTAAAAAATTGAAAATCTGGTCTTATCAAAATAGCCAAATTCCAATTTTTCCTTGCTTTTGTCTTTATCGCCGTTATAGCAATCTCGGCTCGGCTAATCGATAATAAGTGATGCAATAAAGCCATACAAATTAATAGGATATATTAAATAAAATAATTAGATTAAATTTAAATTTTAGGAAGACTTAAAATAGTAAAAAAGAAAATATAATTTATAAACGATACGTGATACGATAATTTTTAAACTCAGTTCACGAGAATTCTGTTTTTCAAGAAATGGAAAATTTTTGATTTATCTTTGCGGACTTGATGATAACAACGCATGTGCCATAAGATATATTCTCTATGGGGACATAACAAGAATAATTATTATAACAAGAACCAAGTCCGCATTTGTTATTTTTAATGTAAGAGAAATTCCCTTGTAAAGAAAATATAGTTTAAGTATTTAAAAAAAAAATGCTGCATTATGTAAATTATAAATAACTTTAATCTAATTATTTATTATTTTAAATGAAAAAGCTGATAAAACGAGCATACAAACAACTTTATAACGCTTAAGAGAAAATTTGATTAATTGTCCTAATAATGTTATATTCATCCAATACGAAATATATATAAATCTATAATAATAAAGCATTGTTGCATTGATATTTAACCATTGTTTTCTTAAGCAATAAAATTTACGGGGAATGATATTACCATAAAGATTCACAATACGAGTTCTCAACGAAGAAAATATTAAATACATTTTACAATTAGACATGTTTTTATTTATTACATATCTGTCTTTGTTGTTCAACAATCGCACGAGTAGTCACATCTGTTGGCATTTATTGACACATCGTGCTACACACTTGGGAAATCCAAGGTAACGATCGACTGTACACGTTCTGCAATTACACTGAATTACGGGCGGGCTGTCCCGTGAAATTTGTCTTATTGCTAATGGCGTATTAGGATTGCCAGTTCTATACTCTTTAATTATTTCTTTGATTAACGATGAACTAATTTTTATTTTTAAAATCTTAATATATATGATGAATATATTGTTAGAATAAATATAAAGAGTCACCATTAAAATTATCCTCGTGGGTTTTATTTATTATCTCAAAAGGAAAACTCGCATCTCAAGAGAAATCATTCATTTGCTTTTTGATAATCGTCAAGACAAAAAAACATTTGCAATTGCATGACACTATATTATATAGATAAAGTATCTATATAAAATGGGATGAACGAAACGAGTATGCAGTTTCTCTCGTGATAGCGCACAATTCAATTGAAGAATATTACTTGTTGCCCTTTTAAAATGGCAAAAATCTATTTTCTCGTTTCTATAATGTTCATCGTGGTAACGGCCAATCTGACTGTTCCGGTCGAAGGTCAATCTTTTATTACGATAAATTAAAGAAAAGTAAAATGGATAGAAATATATATATATGTATATATATATATATATATATATATATATATATATATATATAAATGTTATATATTAAATATCTAATCTAATTGATTAATAATATTTAATCTTTTCAGATACTACATTGGAAAATTTATTAGAACTCGTAGAAAACATAGAATTGAAGGAGAAAGACACGACCGAGGAACGAGCAAATAGACAACGTCGAGTGACTTGTGACCTTTTATCCTTTCATGGAATAATTGGTTCCTCGGCTTGCGCGGCGAATTGTCTGACCATGGGAAAAGCAGGTGGATATTGCAAAAGCGGTATTTGCGTGTGCCGCAAGTGAGCCATGTTTTTTTCTTTCTTTTTTTTTTTATTAATCATTAATCTAATTATTATCATCTTTCTGAGAATTAAAATTATATCCTTGACAATTATTTTCTTTTCTTTTCAGAGATTCCTTTGCGGCTCTTTGGAAAAAACGATTTGGTTAAAATTATGACCAAAATTTTTTCTTTTTTTTTATCCAAATTGAAATATCGCTAGGAAATATATTTCTTTCTGTAATTCTCATTTATTCTATTAATCTATCATCACGAATTCTTCTTTTTCCTCTTTTTTTTTTGTTTCTTTAGAACTTTCATCAAACTTTTCCTGTTCGTTGAACGCATTTTTCTTTCTCTATCTCTCTCCTTCTTTATCTCCCTCCTTCTCTCTCTCCCTCCTTCTCTCTCTCTCCCTCCTTCTCTCTCTCTCTCTCTCTCTCTCTCTCTCTCTCTTTTCGACTTCGATGATATGATTCCATATGATCGTCGAGAGGAGTTGATATAACATCGGATTCGAACATATATACGTCTAATATGATATATGCACGAACGAATAGATAGAAACTTGCGAGAAGATAGAAAAATTGAATTCAAAAAGAGAAAGATAGACAGTTATATAAATGAGAAAGAAAAAAAGAAAACGACCGAAAAGGCAATATAATGCTTTGTGCTTCGATGTGCGATTAAAGACTCAAGAGAGTTTACAGTCGATTTTTTTTTGACTCGCAATTATTGGAATCTTTTCCTCCCTTTCCTCCGCTCCTAGCAACTGAACCTGTAACTGGATCAGATTGCTTGCTGCACTGATGATGATTCCGGTGAACTCTTTCGACTGGAGGGTCCTAGAGGATCACACAAATGCGCCTGCGGTACGCACTTACGGGTCTTTCAGAGCTTTCATTAAAAATTGGACTCTTTGCCGGTCATGTTCGTCCTGTGCTTTCTCTAACCCTCTTTACTCGTTCATCTCCTTCTCTGTCTCTCTTTTTCTATATATATATGTATATATATATATATTTCTATATATATTTCTATATATATAGAAATATATATATATATTAGATGGACCGGAAAGTAATGTCGTTTATGTGCATGTCGATATTTGATTGTGATTAAAAATAAAAACTTGTTAAAAATTTATTCGTTTGAATTTAATTTAAGAAAGCGACATTACTTTCTGGTACATCTTATATATTGGGTTGTTCGGAAAGTAATTTCGTTTTTTCCCAACAGAGGATTTAATTGTATTTTTTGCACCCAACTTCACATTTAAGCCGCATAATCATTATATGTTTTGAGAGCTGATATAGCAAGGTTTGTGTGTGAAAAAGTCCAATTGATTCCACACAGTAATTTTTGGTTGGTGCCCTTTTAAATATGGAGAGCAATAAGTAGTATTTTCGTCATATTTTACATTTTTACTATAGAAAAGATAAAAGTGCTGCTCAAACCAGAAAGAAATTTACCGATGTGTATGGTGAAGATGTGTTGACAGTACGCCAGTGCCAGAATTGGTTTGCAAAATTTCGATCCGGCAATATTGATGTCGAAGATGCACCACGTTCTGGAAGACCGGTTGAAGCTGATAAAGACATGATAAAGGCATTAGTTGATGCAAACCGGCGAATAACAAATTTAACTGTTTATGACCACTTGAAAGGCTTAGGTTTAACCTCGAAGCTCGATATATGGGTTCCCCATGTTCTCGCGGAGAGAAATTTGTGTCGTCGCGTTGACGTCTGTGATTCTCAAACATCACAAAAATGATTCATTTTTGAAGCGCATCATTACTGGGGACGAAAAATGGGTGTATATATGTCAAGCGCAAGAGATCATGGAGCAAAAAAGATAATTGCTCAAAGCATTTCCAAAGCCAATATCCATCAAAGAAAGGTGATGCTGTCTGTTTGATGAGATTTTAAAAGAATCGTTTTTTTGAGATTTTACCAGATAATACAACAATTAATTCGGAAGTCCACTGTCATCAGCTGGTCAAACTGAATGATACACTTCAACAGGAAAGGCCAGAATTAATCAACAAAAAGGGTGTAGTGTTCCACCAAGATAATCCGAGACCTCATTTAAGTTTGATCCTTTGCCGAAAGCTTTCACAGCTTGAATTGGATACAATGTCACATCCACCATATTATCCAGATCTGACACCTTCGGATTATTATTTGTTTCGGTTATTGCAAAATTTTTTAGATGGTAAAATATTCTCTTCAAATGAGGAGGTCAAAAACCACCTATACCAGATTTTTGATAGCAAAGACCCAAAATTTCATGAGCGTAGAATCATGCTCGTACCAGGAGGATGACAGAAAGTATTGCACCAGAATAGCCAATATATAATTTAATAAAATATTTGTTCATTATATAAAAATCGTCTTTCATTTTCACAAAAAAAAACGAACTTACTTCCCGAACAACCCATTTTATATATAGGTCCAAGATAAGAGTAGGCGGAGCAAACTCTACCAGGTGCGTGGCTAAACACCCCGGCGGGACTAACCGAGTAGGAGGCGGGGCTAACACCCCAGGGGGCGGGGCTAACCTAGTAGGAGGCGGAGCAAACTCCACCAGGTGCGTGGCTAAACACCCCGGCGGGACTGACCTAGTAGGAGGCGGGTCTAACACCCCAGGGGGCGGGGCTAACACCCCATGGGGAGGGGCTAACCTAGTATAGAACGGGGCTAATACTCCAGTGGGCGGGGCTAACCTAGTAGTGGCGGGGGCTATTACTCCAGGGGCGGAGCTAACCTAGTAGGGGGCAGGGCTAATACCCCAGGGGGCGGAGCTGACCTAGTAGGGGCGGGGCTAATACACCAGTGGGCGGGGCTAACCGAGTTGGAGGCGGGGCTAATACTCTAGGGTAGAGGCTATCTGCGCAGGTGCTTACTGCGCAGAGGGGTGGTTCATCTGCGCAGGTGCTAACTGCGCAGGTGGGAGGAGCAACTGCGCAGGGCCTGTCTGCGCAGAGGCTATCTGCGCAGGTGGGATGCGATATATATATATATATATATATATATATATATATTCAGAATATTATAGGTATGCTTCGGTATATTTGAAAAACAAATTAAAAGAAAAGAATTACGAATTTCAGAAAAATTATTTAAACAGTACTTTGGGATATCATTATTTCGAGAGTTGAATGGTATAAAGAATTATCAAATGCGGCGTAGCTATATAACTCTGTAGCATTATAGGAAATTGGTACCTTCCCGTTACAACAATAATGACTCGTCAGCCAATGTCCGCGCATGATGCTGACAGGGGTCAAGTCCGGCGAGTGTTCATCAGCTTTAATACGATTTAGTGCATTAGCCCTTTCTTCGTCTTCCATTAGATTCTGGATTGTGATCTTTGTGATCTTCGAATAATGTCCCTCTCAGATAAGAAGTCTAAAACAATTAAAAATTATATTGATGAACCAATACTAATTACGAGCATGTGAGATTGATATTTGAATGCATCGTAAATTTTTATTGTCTTTTCTTGAAAATACGAATCAATTAAAATAATTCGATGGGAGGATTTTATTGTTAAATCTCAAATCCCTTTATCCACACAGGTTATTTCATCGATTTTGGAAAATTTTAATTGATTCTACATATGAAAGATTGTGTCCCGTAATAATTCGTCGTGTTCTGTTATATCCGACGACGGAATTATATATATATATATATATATATATATATATATATATATATATATATATTAGTCTCCTGGTCTCGCCACTTTTCGTTTGCATGAATAGCCACATATATATTATATACACATATCCACATATTCCATACAACCAGTTTCACCGTAGTCATATTCGTGACTCTGTACTTCAGTTTTGTTCATTGGCATCGTCTAGCCAGGCGCTTTTGAAAATAATTTCCAACTGGATATGCGGTTATAGGATAGTCCAACTCTTCAACGACGAATAATAGTGGCCGACGACCGTACGAAACTTCCGATAGGACGAAACCATGGTCTCGCTGGTGTATCCACGGTCATGATGAAATGGAAAAAGATTATCGAGAGTGTTTTAACGGGATTAATTGTTCTCATTGATCGACGTGAGATACTATCTTTTATTAACGACGGAACGTCGAGTTCTAAGTTCGTACAACGGTAAATCATATTTTCACATCTCTCGTAGATTACAAAACAATAATATGACGTATCTCACAATGTGACGCACCTCTTATTGTTTTTTTTTCTTTTTCTCTTGCCATTTCCCCTTCAATTATTAATTATCCAAGAGGTCCTATCCTGCAGAAATATTATATGACTTTTAATTTAATATAAAACAATGATAAATTCAAAATCAATTATTTTATCTGTTTGTTGACTGATTCTATTTTTTCGAGATAATAATTTAAATTTATTATTTAATTTATTTTATTAAAACGTACGAACTTTATTTTAAATTATGTCCCAATTATCATATGTCGCTCGTATATACAAGAAATTGTGACAGCGATTGATACTATTTAGATAGAAACGAAAGAATAATGCAGAACGCATGAGAAAAATGAGATGAAAAAAATATAAGATTTAACACCCCCATCAAATGGTATTATTGAATTTCACTGTACAGGATCATATTTTATGTTATTTCCGGTGGTAAGTATTAATACTATACGTGGCTTTGCACGTATACTTTTCGACGATCGTAATGGATCGCTGATGTAATGGATTATATCACATGAGTGGGCTTTTATAGTTTCTCTTCGTTGAGACCTATCACACATTCGTATCGTGAAAGGGTGATAATGCATATATAATGGGAAAGGAATCGAAACACGATCGGAACGTCTCGTTTTAAGTATCTATTTTTAATCGATTTCGCCAACGAATGAATGGATTCTTTGCAATTTCTTCGTCCGTCGATTATCATTGCATTTATAATCGGATTTTAAAGCAAAGACCTGAAATTGAAATTTTTATGTTAAAATTTCTAACACACCGACGTACGGTAAACTGTAAATTCTTTTATCAAAGGTGTATTTTATAAAGATTCATATGTTGTTAATAAATTCTAATTGTTTCCTTTTTCGTTTTTTTTTCTTTTTTTTCTTTTTAATATACGTACACTGGATATTGTTAAAATACGTTTCTCAACTGACTGTAACAATAAATGTTTAAGATTAATATACTTTTTTTCTAGAAATTTTATATAAGTAACGATGAAGTAGAATTGATCGCAGTTCTACTAGAATATTCCGAGATTCTCTAAGAGATGTCGTCACAGCATGATTCTAATAATTTTTCTGTTACCGAAACTATAATTAATCGGTTCAAATATATATATATATATATATTAATAGAATGTAAGATATATAGAGTATCTTAGTTGATTGATAAGATATTGTCTAATAATATGGATGCTATAAAATAAATTTTTTTTTAATTTATGGCTTACAATATGTTTTTTCGATAAAAAAAAAAAAAGAAAATTGTCATCACTTATAATTAATATATTTTTCAATATTATCTTAATTACAAAACGCAATTGCATCACATAATCTTTATTTAACAGTAACTAACATCGACCGGAGGTAAAATGAAAGGAAGTCATGGCACGACTTCTAATTAATGAAATATTTCAAAATCCAATCGTCTGTCTACCAATCTTTTTTAATAATCCTACGAATCCTTCACCACCGGACGTAATCGAAATTCTTATTGTACGTGATCGTGCACGGACACTTTAGCTAATTCGAAACAAAATGGCAATCGAATTACGAAAGGATCATTCTCTTTTCAATTAAAGAATTATTCTGAAGTTTTCATTCATTTCGTGAATATTTAACGAAAATATTCGAATTACAGAATAGCAAATTCGAGCAGTTTATTATTTTACGAAATCGTATCAAAAGTCTCAAAGTTTAGAGGGGCTTTGTAATAAAACGAACTATTCAAGAGAATAGTAAAGTTCAAGTGAAAATTAAACTCGAGACTTCTTCGTTGTCTAGTGCTATAGGAAATGAAGCTAATTGCAAAGTTTTCCAACGGTAAATGAAGTACGATGCATTTTTAGTATTGCGTAATGCGCTTTCCTCGTTCCAGACGTGTCTCACCATAAAAAGGAAGGTTCTAATATGTAGCAATTTTTTAAACGGTTTGTTTTCAATTACTATTAACCTTCCTTTTGCTTTAAAAGAAACCGCATTGCGCGACGAATAATAATCGATCCTCTCGTAACATAAAAAGCTTCTTATACAATTAACGTTTATACGTTGAAGAAATAAAAAGAGAAAAACAATAACAATAATGACAACAGCAAACAAACAAACAAAATAAAAAATGAAAGAAAAAAAAAGATTCAGTAATATTTAAAGCATTTTCAGGATTTGTAAATTAGCAAATTACTCTCGTGGAATACTCCTGACAAGCCGATCGCCCAGCCGGCCTCAGGATAAACGCAATTTGCTCGAAGGGAGGCTAATGCAGGAGTTAGTAGACGGGCTACACTGTAGGTCACGACATAATCCGATTTTCTCGAGCGTTAATTCGCGTACCGGCCGAGTCTAGCATGTACTCGGTACGCTCGTCGCATTATTTCCAACGCAAGCACTTGTTTCGAGGATACTCGAGCACTTCCTTCGAACCCTCCTGCCTGATCCTTTCATATCCTACAAACTGAATACAGTTTCATCAAAATGTCGTAACGCGATCGTGCAATAAATATTTGAAATGATCGAACGATCGATTTCACTTACCGCGATTTCCATTGAATTCCATTATTTGTCCTTTTCTGATTTTGACAAATCTCTTTTTCAATAATAATTCTTTTTTAATAATCCTTTAACAAAATCAAATCAAGTGACAAGACATATACGAAAAGAATGTAAATATTTAAAGAATTTCCGAAATGGACGAAGTTGGAAAAAAACGCGTTAAAATGTCCTATTACATATTGTCTCGAAATAATCGGTCATTTACATCGTACCAATCTTCGATTTACTCTCTGGTCTACTCTCCAGTCCATTCTCGGTTCATTCTCGATGGTGACGTGCACGCCACGCATGCAACTAGAACAGCTTAGAACGATTACGAGGGGATCGTAGCGGGCTGGTTCAATCAATCAGCTGTTTCCATATTAGCGTTTCCTGGCACGTACGCGCACGCCGCTTTACCTGTTCTCTGTTTCATCCTCTCTCTTTCTCTCCTACTCCTTTCGATACTCCCGTCCCTTGAACCTTCCAATTTCCTACTCCACATTCCACAGTCGGAACTCGTCTTTGCCATATTGGAACTTGTGTTTCTCCGTTCTCTCAAAGATCTATATATATAAAGATTATATATATATATATGTATA